CCAAAACAGGTTTCCTTAGCTTTGGTAAAGTGCTAGTGCGTTTGTTAAACAGTTCTGTTCTTCGGACCCTTGCACCTTACCGTTCTTGCAGTAAAGGGCTAATGCAGTAACTAGCTTCCGCAGTCAAGTGAACAACTCCTTTGTTAAAATACCTTCAAGTGCTCCGACTCTTTCACCTTTCGGTTCCATCCCCTTTCTTCCTGGGAATTGAGTTAAGTGCAAACCAATGTCAGAGTGTGCCTTCTTTGTTCTTTCTCTCTCTCTCTCTAGTTTATGGGTCAACGGCCTGAAGGCTCTACCATGTTGCGCCTTCGGTCTTCCACCCTGCCCGCACCGCCTCTTCCCGCCGGGGGACGGCCAGCTGGAGAGGTGTGAGTCCTGCGAGGCGAGTTCGGGGCGCGAGTCCGGTTCGGCGCGGCTCCGAAGGGTTCGGTCAGCTTCACATGTCCTCCGGCGAGTCCGTGTGTGCCATTGTTGTAAAAAAGACTATAGTATAAGCTTCGGTTTTTGGGTTCAGTAGGCCCGGCGTTTCCTCCATCTTTCCTGGAAGGTGAATGAGACAGTTGATTCAACATGCCGGTAATAGCAACCACTCTCACCGGGTCAATGGGTCGAAGGGTCGCTCCTGCAAAGCGGTTTCCACCAAACTCCTCAAGCTCCTGAGAGCTGAGCCGCCAGGACGGAGTTGCGCAGGGCGAGCTCCGCACAAGCTGAGCCAGGCGGGATGACTGATTAGCGATCGGGTCAGTTGTCTCGGTCTCAATACTTGCACTGGGTCAAGTAGGTCTGAAGAACCGGTCAAAACCAACTGACGTCGACTGAGTCAGTTTTTTTTTCTCACTGGGTCAGTCTTATCAGTTTCCATGAGTCGACTGACCATGACCTACTTTCACCATGGTCGGTGTGAAATCATCGACTGGGCGATCTTGGGATGTGACGTCGTCCCAGAAGTTCTGTGTCCAGTTTACCACTTCCGGTCAAACCCCTTAAGCTCCAACGATCTCAAAGGAACATGATCCCATTGCCAGGGCCCAGTGGATGATGATAGTTAGGTTGCAGGCCTTTGGTCTTTTACCGACTCTTAATGTAGACTCTTGATTAATGACCCCCCCACCCATTGGATGCGCTCACTTGCGGTCCGTGGACGCTTCTACTACATCCCTTGCCGCGTACTGACTCCCCACCCATTGGATTGAACAACCTCTTCACATGGGGGGTTTGATGAATCATGAGTCTACATCACTGGTCTTTCATGGACGCCATTCTGTGCATGGCATCGCCCCACCTCCAGGTCCACCCTCGCACCGGGCCCTCTCCACGGGTCCGCCCTCGCCCTCTCCACGGGTCCGCCCGCTCCTCTCGAATCTCCTGGGGCCGATCCGAGCTGTAGGTTTGGGGCCTCAACATCTATAGTGGATTGAGAGGACCAATGGCACAGACCCCAAGAGATGGTGGTTTAGTAGTGGACCCCCCCTGACCAGTCTAGGACATCGAACGGGGTCAGTGCCATCGAACCTCTGAAACCACTGTCATCTGAATAGATCAAAACTTTAGAACAGGTCGCGAAAAAGCCCAACGCTGCTTCTCTACGACTGCTAGGCCTAGGCATTTCTTCATCATTTCTTCACCATTTCGGGATTTGACATGGTCTGACATGTGGCTTAAACATGTGAACCACGAATCCCATTTTGGAAGGTTGTTGGACCCATGTGCACCGAAATCACTTGCATCCAGGAAGCTTAACATGGAACCTGAACATGGACATTTGGAAGACTTTTTTCTCTATTACCCAGTGGTTTTCATATGTTTTCAGGTTTCCATGTTGATCTGGGAGGGCATCCTTCTCCGGCATGCCCCAACAGTCTGCACGGAGAAGGCCCTGCGATGCCCCCCCAGCTGCGCTTCCCCTCAGCTTTTCCTGCCTCCAGTGTTGCCTCCGAGGTCCACTTCTCTTCTCCACCGGGGTGCGTCCTGTGCACGGAACAACCCCTCTGCGTCAACCCGATCATCACTATCCCCAGCCATTGCCAGTCGAGGTGAACTTCACCCGCGTGGGCTCCCATTGAAAGCCACGAAGTTCATCGAAATTCTGGTATATAAATATATCTATATATAGCTATATTAAAACGCTATATAGCTATATAGCTTCTGGCACATAGCTTTTTTAATATATCGATATTCATCAAACTTTGGATCAAACATCGGGTGCCACCTTAAAAGTCTAGTATTCTAGTATACTTTCTAGTATACTTCGAAGATGTGCGGAATCGGAGGGCCTTTTCTCTCTCCAAAAGTGGAGCCAGATCCATCTGAAGTTACTCGCGAAAGAATCGCACGATGGATCTAGGCATCCTGACACCGCACCAGGATGATCCAGGGTCAGGTGGGCCACAGCAGTTGCTGCAGCGTTTCCCCCTGACACCATCTGACACCGCACCTTAAAACACAAAGGCCCCAGTTGCAAAGGAACTGGCCCTTTTCGCGCATCCCTTCGCCTCAGCAACGCCCGCAACGCAGGGGCTTGGCTTGAACTTTGAGGGCTGAAGGTTCAGGCTCAAGGCCAATCCATGCCAATCCTTTCCTTTTATAGAAGTGTGTTTCTAAGTCTGATTGCTTCGGCTTGTGCAACTAGTTAAAGTTGTTCTACAACTTAATTCCTCCTGCATTATTGCTATTCTAATCTTACTACATCATTGAAGAATCTTGAAGACACTCTTACTGACTGTGAAAAATCATCAGGGCCCCAAATCTAGTGCCTCTTGGCTGCTGAGTCTCGAGGTCAAATGATGGGCTTTTGTCCATGTGCGATCAAGCCGTTTGTGCCCATTCCCATTCTCAGTGGGACAGTAAGCCAGTAAGCGGGACTCGCCGGAAGGGTTGGATTCACAACCAAACGAGAAAGGCAGGACCGGGTATGCCAACAATGCTTGCACAATATTGAGCCACCCTGAAACGAATCTATTTTCGGATGCTTGGTGTGATTCGCCATGGGCCAGGTGCCACGTCCCTACGAACTTTCACAAGACCTCCACATCTCTGCTTCTCCAGTGGCTAATCGGATAGCAAATGAAGTTGCCGTTCTCATGGCCACATAGAGAGACCGTACAACCTGAGAAGCCACATAGAGAGACCGCACAACTGGTCCGCCTACCCGTGGTCTGCTGCAAGTGGTCTGCGGCATGGCCCTGCCTACCCTGAGAGTCCAAATTACTCAATTTACCTCTTTGGTAGTGGTGGGTTATGACTTGGAGGTGGGATAAAATGAGTTATTGGAATCACTTCTATAAATTTCTGGGATGCATCATACATCCATGACACTTCATGCATTTTCCCGCCTAAGGCGATGAACTCTCGAGGATTGCCCTTCGATGGTTCCTGTACTTCGATGGTCAACCCATACGGTCCAATGCAACTTCCCCCTCAGGGTCTCAGGACCAAAAGCCAAGTTCCTTCCTCCCTTCCGTCCAAGTTCCACTCGAACGGGCGCGAGTGTACGCGGGAGACCAAAGCCAAAGCCAGGTCCCACTCGATGAGACCCGAAGACAAGGACGTCCGCGTCACAACCGTCAAACGAGTCTAGACAAGGAGCAAAGCCAAACGTATACACAACATGTGTATACAGTGGGTTGAGAGTAGATGGCACAACCCTCAAAAGGTGGTCTATATGGACCCCTATATAAAAGACATCTTGGGGTTTGTGCCATCTACTCTCAATCCACTGTATATATATATATATATATATGTGTGTATGTGTATATATGTGTGACACCCATCGTCCACACTGCTGGATGCCAAGATGCCATCGGCGTGAATGGCTTCCACCTGACTCGGATGAGCCACCGGTGAATCCATGGTCAGCAGTTGAGATTTCGGTGCAAACTGGTCTAGCTTTCTTGAGAGGGCGCCTCGCGTTGGAGTCATACGGATGTGCAGTGTACATCAAGCGATCACATTCTTATTTAATGTATATTTAATCTATTTTGATCTATTGGTGTGTGTGGCCTCTTGTCTGCCTTCTCGTCTTAAAAAGCGCACTTTACACATACAATTGCACGAAGTGAGGGACTTTGACCGACCTCCGGCCACGCCTCGCACAGGCCGCGATAAATCATGCGTCCGGTGTACCTGCCACAGCTGGAATCGGCTGGAACCAGCTCACATCCAAAGACCCAGGTCAAAGGTTCCAGGAGTTTTAAAGGTTTCTCAGACTGCAAAGACGGACTTTTCTGCCTCAAACGCCACTGAAAGCTTGGTGGATCTACTTTGATCCTTTTTTTGTGTAGCACGTTTCCCAGAAAGCTCTGAACATGTTCACCTATTCTGAGCAATTTGCCGTTTGAGGTGGCAACACGGAGGTGGGTGATGGTGGAAAAAATAGCACAGGTGGTGCGAACAAGTTGATCATGCTGATGTGTGGAGCTTACAAGTTGATCCAGTAGAACCTTGATCAAGCCCAAATGATCAAAATGGAAGGATATTTCAACCAATTCACTATAAACGGTCTCAAATGGCCCACAGCTACTGCTCGCTTTGGGATCTTTGGAACGAATACAGTCAAAACGCAGACTCCAAACGCCTGACGGAACCCTTCCTGGATCGACCTGTGAGCCGTCACCGACTGTGGACATCAAGTCTTCTCAACGCGATGAACGCCCAGGTTTTGCTGGGTGAAGACCCTGTAAAAACACAGCCCATTTCGCGGAGCGCTCGGCACTTGTTTCACCATGTATCACCTGCAGGATCGTGGCCTTTTCACCAAGTTGACAAAGACACCACCCGCTGGTCTCTTACGTTGTCAGGGATTCTCAGGGAGCACAAGGTGCTCCACCACTTCTCCAGCTCCTCCCACGCAGAATCTCACATCAAACCTGTGCTCTTCACGTGCAGCATCCATGTAGCCAGCGCTTTCGTGCGGGGCATGCGATGGCGAAGTGGCAGCGAACGCACTCCTTGGTTGCAGGAAGTAACACAAACGATCTTCCCGCCCAAACCCACGGAATTGGTCATTCACATCCTGCTTGGTGTCGATGATTATGTTCATTTGACCTTTGAAACATTTAGGTGACGGGGGGCCCAGCATGTTCTTCCCATGCCTGGCATGACCGCCGCCGGGCTGCCGCTGTGAAGCTAGGCCGTCGACATCTCAATGCCTGGCAGTCCTCATGTGTTGTGTCAAAGCCACGTAATTGGCTCAATTCTTAACACCTGAGTCGCCCACTGGGGAGTAGAATCAGCTGTCCAACAAAACGCAACCGATCTTTTGTGAGGGCGCTGAGCCACAAAACTTGAAGGGGCGGTATGAATCTCCACCACATATATATCTACATATAGTTGCTATGATTGGCAGCCTGCTGCACACCTGTTCCTAGCCTTTGATTATATCTAAATAATCTCAGCTTCCTTTTGGGCAATGCTCCATTGAGCAAAACCCTTGAACATTGCTTTCTTGGCATGACCCAACAGGAAAACACAAACTCATGAAACGCAATCTCTGGAAGAGAATACCCTCTTCACCTTACATAACCACACATATCAGCAGTTGCATGTCAGTTGCATGTTCAAAACCAGGCAAAGCCGGCTTGACAGGCAAGCCTGTCCTCCACCAAGCTCCGGCAGAGTGGACGTTGTGCTCAAGTTCTGCGGTTTGGTTATCTCTCTGGCGGAGTGTAGTTGAAGTTCCTCGGGCCGAAGTGACCGGCGGAATCCGATGGTTTCGGCGCAGGTTCCAAGAGGCACCTTCCTTCAGCCTGAAACGCGACATGTTCCTGAATAACACCCAGAATATACCAGCATCCTGCCCCACCTATCCATGATTTTGAAGTCACCTTTTAGCCAATTTAGCTCCAATTGATGCCCAACATGTCTGCTTTTTTAATTCCCGTTCAGGCACTTCCCAAAACCCATCATGTCATGCCCGGTAGAACTCGACCGCTCGCAGAGCCGGACACCGGTGGAAAAGACCGAGGAACCGGAAGTCCGCCGCGTATTTGCTGCGGATCAGCTGCAAGGTTTTGGGATGCAGGTTTTTGCTGTCGAACTTCTCTCCCGTAGCCTGGAAGTGACCAGCAAATGGTCTTTGGGCTAGCGAGAACATTGAAATTGCACATCCACGTGCGATCGATGTGGCCATCGTAAGGCATCTCGCGTCTTCGTCTACACGATTCCAATTCCATATGATTCCTACGTCCCTTGTGATCCGTGTCCGCGCGAACGACACGGCCGCTGCATCGTTCATCATTTGCCGGACTCCTATCTCTGGGGGGATCGGACTCCTTGAGGGATTTTTCCGCCCTACTTTTTGGGGTGTCGCAGCACTGAGCTGGAGGAGTGTTAGTGACAAGTTGTGCCGCACAACTTCCGAGCACGACCTACAGCGCTGACCTGGTTCTTCTTGGGCAAGCCATCAAAATGGATGCCATACAAAGGCAGGAGCCTGGCTGAGACAACGAACCATCACCATTGATGTGGAAGTCTGGCATATGATTCGACACCTTCTTGATATTTGTACTTCATGGATGCCTCGAGCTAGGAGATGCTAGGAGTCGGGTTATGTCGTCATATTGCTTATATAACCTCAACATACCTCAACTACTGCTCTTGGGCAACGAGCACAGTGCTGGGTCGTGTTCAGTGAAGGCTTGTCATGCCTGGCATGTTTCAAGCTTCTTTGAATATGCGTGAAATACCATGACATATAATGATCCCTGTTGGTATCAACCATGGGTCTTTGCAACCCTGCGAACTGTGGGGGCCCAAATGAATGGCGTCCTGCACGGCGTGCGGGAGCATGTCCGGTTCCCAGCGGGACACGGGTACCGCCTCTTCAAGTCGGCGGACAAGGTCTCAAAGTGCAGGATGTGCTGCACGCTGCTGGGGTCCAAGTACTTCTTGGTGTCGAACGGCGGACGAGGACGACTGCTGGGACACGCGGAGTTCGAGCGCCACGAGCCACGGGTCAGAAGACGAAGGATCTGAAGGATCCAGATCTGGGCAACAAACACATCGATCACACATGATTTGTTCGTATTCTTTCCCTCTTGGTGGAGGATTCTATGAGAACGTTTTTTTATCGTTTTTGAGGGATCAGGCAGCCATTCACAATGCAACTTTGGATGGGTACACTCCTGCGGCATTGCTGGGGAAGATCTGTCAACATGACCAGTGCAGTGGTGACGTCTTCTGAAGTCATTCGAAGTCATGGAGCACCAGCATGAGCGCCACATCAAGTGATACCCCCCCGGAAAAGCCGACCCCATGGACCCTGAAAAGCGCCCCCGTGGTTTCGACCGAGAACAACCAAGGGATCCGAAGAGCTGGGCCCCTGTGCTTTTGAGTCCATGTGGGTTTTCTGCAGGATCCGGTACTTTGCGTATCGGGTACTTCGGCAACGAGCCACGGACATCTCTCGAAAGCTCCCAGGATGAAGCCAGCGCGTCCCATCCAAAGCGCCTTGCCTTGGACCAGGAGAGCGGTGCTGCGTGGCATGTGCTGTGCCGCCCCCCGAAAACAGAATGACGGCCAAAAGGCTTTGAGGGGTGATTCATTCCATTGATTACAACACAATACCCACACACTGCATGTATGGAATATATGCCTATATACACACATTGAACCCCGAAACCACCCCAACTGATCGGCAAATATGGTAGTCCCATGGAGTGTATGGGATACAACAATATATCATCACACAGCAAATTGGCAAACGTGACGAAGGAATCCGCTCAAATGGATTTCCAGGCCTGTGAAATGCTGGCACTCCTGGAAAGATCATTGTTACGTTATGTGGAGTGCACCACCTCTTTGTGCAGGAACATGGTCATCCAAGAAGCCATGCCATCCACTTCCATGATTTCAAGGAGTGCAAGAGATTCTTGCACATTGCAATAGTTACTAGAATTCCAATGGCTGGGGAAGCCTTCGGCCAATTCAAGCAAAATGACGTCGGCAACCCTACAAACTTTACCACTGTCTTGAGGGCATGCAACACACATGAATGCAGCCAGGGTGGTCATGTAGTGCCGGCTTCAATTCGCAAGCTTTGACAACCCCTCACCCCTACACACAATCGAACTCCGGCGCCTCAAACGCACCAGCAGCTCACTGCATTCGAAGGTGCAAAAAGTGGTTGAACGAGTCCTGAGTGGAGCAACTTCGCCGCCATTTGCCAAATGCCATTTACCAAAAGGAACTGGAGGCAGATCTCTAATTAATCTCCAGAAGATCTATACAAAAGAAGTTGATATCCCTGCCGTCCCTGCCATAACAAAAGTCTTCCTCCACCCACAACAGTTCCATAAATTGACATCAACAGTGGGACGTCTGGTCGCAGTAAAACCCATGAAATCCTCTGCGAACCAAAGGCTTCATCATCTTTTCTCCCAAATCTGACAAGAAGGATGACGGATCTCGGGCGCTCGAGATCATGCCTAACACCATGCCTTCGGTAACGAACAAATGCATAAACATATCGCTTTTTGAGGTCTTTTGCTACTCGTCGAGTCTTTTGCTTCAAAAATGTGGTCAATGTTGTGCCATCCGCCACCCTGCGCATGCAGGATTAGGCTGAACATGGCTGAACTTCCAATCTTCCAAGCATCTTCTGTGTCAGATTGCGGCGTTTTGGTCCCGGTCCAGGGACAGTAATATTCAGAGATGGCGCGATGCACCGGATCTCGCACCACCATGAACCAATCAAAGCCTTGGTGAGACACGGTTCCTTCTGAGCGAGGTGCTCCTGGAACCGAACTGGAACTGCCGATTTTCCAATTCGCATTTCTGTATTCTCTGTGTCCCCAAACCGGACATCAAGTTTGAGAATGACTGTGTGAGCTTGCTGGTCAGGTGATGAGTGATTCCACTATTCCTTGCAAATGTATGCATATATTGTATATTTGCTTCACCAGGCACCCCCCCAAAACCAAATTGAACAATCACGCAATTGTAGGGGCACGGGTCCACTCTCCACTGGATGGCATGAACCTTTGAAAAAAGGGGGAGGCAGTTGTGATATGCGATATGTTATGATTGATTATAGTTACGACCCGAGAGGTGAACTCCCGGCAAAAGCAATCACCGCATGGGCACAAGGTGAGATGGAGTGAAGTCCCAATGACCAGGTCGTGTGT